CTGATCATTTATGTATACATTTGTCTATATCTATCTCGATTCGTTTTGGCTGTTACAAACAACCGTTATGTGAACAAAATTAATATACCCTTGTGCACAAGTGCGCTCGGGTATAAAAATAAAATTCCGACGCATTGACAAACTTCTCCTTTTTGTGAAGTCGGAAAAAATAAGATCCAAAAAATTTAACGAAATAAAAAAATGTATTTCTCTTTTTAAAACAATTAAAACTAAACCAAATATAAACTAAATTGAAAAATATTTCTTAAAAAATAGAATATATAATAAATTAGTATATATAATAATAAAGTACGTTTCAAAATATTTAATGCAATTAAAAAAGTATATTTTTTAACAATAAAATCGTAAAAAATTAAATAAAGTGAGTTTCTAAAAATTAAATTGCAAAATTAAATTTTTCTTTTTACGGCAATGAAATCTAAAAATTAAATGAAAATAAAATAGCAAAAGAAAAAAAAATTGGCTGCTCGAGGTCTCAAACCAGTGCTTTGCTGACTCCGCCATTGCGACTGGTGCTTTCTCTCCAACTAGCTTTTCATCAGGAGTGGTGAATGATAAAGCTTTTTTTCTAAGACTTTTGTACTAGAATTGTAAAAATCTTTCGAGCTATCCTACCATCTGTCTTGCATTTGTCTACAAAAGACTTTTTACTATCTTACCCAGAATTGTCCTGTAAGGCAGTATTTTTCAGGCAGAACTTGGCGTGAATAGAGAGGCGGAGAGGACTTAGGGCCAAATTCACAGTGCGTAGTTAACTCAGAATCGGCAGTTAACTACAGATTTTTGTACTTGAAATCTGTAATTAACTGCCGATTCTGAGTTATCTACGCACTGTGAATTTGGCCCTTATACCATGTCCCCACCAAAAAGTTAACCATCTCAAATCGAACTTAACCACATCACTAACTATTGCTGCCCACACTGCGGTTTGAGGTTTATAAAACAGTACAAATGTAAAGAACAGTGTTCGGACCTCCAAAATCGATTCAGGACTAAATTACTGCAAAAATCGGAGCAAAAACAAATTTTCTGTACTAGATTGAATTTTTTATTTTTGTTTCTGACATTAATTGTTTGACTAAAATATTTTCTATTCATGCAAAATAAGAACGCTGGGCAATGTAAGGATAATATGTTACATATTTAGGTAATTTTTAGCATTTTCTATATAGTAGAACGTATCTAACACTTAATTTTTTAAAAAGCAAACCTTTTCTACTTTATATAAATTTCATTGTGTATATATATTTTTTAACAAGTTAAGTAAAGTTCTGCATCCGCCAATTTGTACAGCCATACATCAAAAAATAACGAAGTTACTTTATTGACGCATTGCTATGAAAGAGTTACTTTTTAACAGTGAGATTTGGCTAACTTTCAATTTTTTTACTGAAACCGGCGGTGAACACTCAAAAAACGGCCCCAAGAGGGGCATAACATGAATGAAAAAAACGGAATAGATTTGAAGTCAAGCGGAGTAGAGGAGTAGATTTCAAATTTTTTCAAAAACCGGAGTAAATCTAATCTGATCTTAGTTGAGTCCAAACACTAGTAGGGAACGAATTCTTTACATTTTAACGCTAATGACCCACAGATGGCGGGAAAACACAGGGTTGTATCAGACTTTCGACGTGGTTTCGAGTTGGTTAGCTTTTAACCATCTCAGTGAAATGGTTAAGTGCTGTCATTTTTATATGGCGAAACTACGCTAAATGAAGTGGGTTATCGGGATAACCAACTCAACAGCCATAACTACGTGGTTAGCTCCGGTGGGGACATGGTATTAAAGCTCCAGAGTGTGCTTTAGTTAGGGAGGAACAAATATATACAGTGGCGGTCAGTGTTTCGTATCAAGGGTCGGTTGTTCAATGTCTGATTAGCTCTAATCGGAGGTAGAAGCTCCGGTTTAATACAACGACTGCTTTATCGATCCCATGTTATATGCATTACGTCCAAATTGTCGATAATAATGTACTGGTGATAACCAGACATTGAACAACCGGCCCTTAGTATTTACAATGTTTTTCAAGCTATATTCTTTTTGATATTTTTTTATAAAAATATGGTTCATGCTTTAACAAAAACCATATAAATCTCACTTTCAAACTTTATACAGAGTTTAGAAAAAATCCACAAATTTTTATCTAAGTTACGAGCTTTTTAACTAGAATTTTTTTTTAACTTTTTTGGGTATGCCGTTAACAAGCCTATAAAATTTAAGTAAAATTAGTACAAGTTTTGAGCGGCTAAAAAATCGCATTGATTTTTAATCATTTTTTTTTTTTGGTGGCGGCGTTTTGAACTTTTTTCCATATAAACATGAGTTTTTTGTGAAAGAATATGCGCAAGACCTTTTGCGAGAAAAATAAAAGAAGTCAACGCCAGCTTTCCTAAATTTCGCTCAATCAGGTCGTTGGGTGTAGCCTTCAGCCTTTCACACAATACGCACGATAAGACGTTACACACGACGTTCAGGCATCTCGATTTGATGTGGATTGCGACGACACGGTCGTCCACATGAGTGAACGACAGTACTCGGCGACGAAGTGTCTCCACTGCCACAAATCCAGCACCGAACAGCTGTACAGAGTAGACCTCGCAAGATCTCCGTGTTTCTTGCCTTGCCCTGTACATCGCATTGCATGTATGGCAGTGATGTCATTGCACGACATTCGGAATATACATACCTACTTAAAAATGTATGTAAATTCACAATGTGTTGCCAATATTTTTCAACTGATAACTACTACTGTTTGGTAATTAGTTTTAGACGCTATCATTTTTGCGATAAACTACTTAATAATATCAAAACGTTAGCCGGCTGCAATAAAAGCTCGAGCATGCTATAAGAAGCCAGGTATAAAAATAATAAAAAGTTCATAATTGGGTACCCAATTAATGGACGATTAATTATTATTATTATTTATTAGAACGACCAGAGGTTTTAAATTACAAAGGCATGTGAATACTTAATCTTAACAGATTTTTTTTTAAACATACACAAAATTACATATTAAAATTAAAATTAAAATTATTGGAGCAGAAGATAAGAATGTATATACAATTAAGGCCGTGGTTACGCCACCAATTTCGATTGGTAATCACCGTGAAATTGTTGTTGTGCACAGCACGGAGTTAGAGAATTTTCGAAATCGGCCAGCACGCCAATTTTTCAGGTGGTGCAATGATGTCTCTTTGGTGGAGTCCCAATAGCGACATAGATCGCTTTATCAGATCTCTAACTTATGCAAGTCTACAATGACCCGCCAAAATACCTGTAATAATTCTTAACCTCTCCTTGGGGAGGTTTGTGAGTAGCTTATAACTCTTTAGATTGTACCCCATAGTAAGCTCTTAGCTTAACGAAGACCCATCGTGTTTCGCCAATGCAGTACCGTCAGTTTGCTATTTTCTTTTCAGAGCATTTCCTTTAGCATGTTAGGACATCATTTCCTCCGACTCCCAAGTGCCCTGGTAGCCATATAAGCTGGATGGGATTGTTTCATACAGGGTGTTTAGCTTCGCTAGGCACTCCAGGACAAATGAGTACTTGACATCGAAGGATCAGAGCGCCCCAAGTGCCGCCTAACTGTCACTTAATGTAAGAATTCCCTCTCTTCGATAATTCCTACTAAAGTTAATCTCTGCACACAGATTAATGGCATATACTTCCGCTTGGAAGATGCTTGGAAGGTTCCCAAGGGCACTAAAAGCTTTAGTATAGGGCCATATACACCTATTCCAATATACTCAGAGGTCTTAGTAGAGCCGCTATAGTGTGCTCGCCTGGACATGGTCGCCTTGCTGTATATATCAACCTTAAAGCTTCTTCCGAAAACTACCACTCTATACATATCATCTCTGCAGAAGAGAAAAATGGGAGCCTAGCTTGTCCTTGTTCCTAGATGATAAGGTCTTAAGCTTAAGAATATAAAGCCTATTAATATAGTATAGCCTGTATCAAGGTTTCCGCTTGCTGAGTTCTTACTGTATTTAAAAGTAGACCGAATTGGAATAACAGTTAATAGCTTGTTATTCGTTTAATCAGCAATTAAAATCCCTATCTATGTGATGGCTGAGTTGATAAAAATAAATAAAATAGTTTTGTGTAGCAGCAGAAACATTTCAGCTTTGGGCCGAATTTCTCCTGCGATTTCGAACCCGCATGGATATTGAAATAGACGTATATATTCATATATATCATGCCAAATGGGTATAAAAATTTTTAGAAGTAGAGTTTTTTTTCCAGAATTGCACCCGACGGCATACCAGTGGAGGGCAGGAAGCGACTTTGCTTGGTTATATTCTAAACAAACTACTCGCAATACCTTTTCGATTTCAAGAACAACTTTGGGATGGAACTCAAGACCTTCCATTTAGTAGCCAACATATGACGTGCTCGGACAGTCAACTCAAGCAGCATATTCACTTTAAGCATAATAAATTCTTAAAATGGCTACGAATTAGCCAATCTAGTATGCATATCTGGCACTTCAGCTGGAATTTAGTTCTTTTAGCTTCCTCGAACTCATTAGTGTATTCTAGCAATGACTTTCGGTTCGTTGACTTTTTGCACGCTTTTGTTCATTTCCTACCCTGCACCAGGGAACTTCAGCCCACCACGTTTGATCGAGGGCCGCATCGTAGGCGGCAATGAGGTATCGATTGTACGCCACCCGCATCAGATATCGTTGCGGCGGAGAACATGCACCGAATGCGCCTATCTACATGACTGCGGCGGCAGCATATTGAACGAGGATACCATACTGACAGCGGCACATTGTGTTGTCAATCGGCGTGTAAGCAATTTGATGGTAATTGCTGGCACAAATAATCGCGCCGGTAGCGATGGCACAGTAGCGCTCGTAAGCAAAGTGGTCACGCACGAACTGTACAATGCCTCCATAACGGATTATGACGTTGCGTTGCTACTTCTCACCACACCGCTGAAGTTCGATCATTTATTTATTGCACCTGTTGCATTGGTGGCAGCTGCACCAACAGCGGGCGCAAAGGCAAAAGTCACTGGTTGGGGCACAGTTTCGGAAGGTGGTGTGTTGGCGAGCCGATTGCAGGTGGTCAATGTTTTCGTACAGGATCAAGAGCAATGCATAGGTGCGTACGGAGCCCGTATTACGGACGCTATGCTGTGTGCAGGCGTGGTAGAAGGTGGCAAGGATGCCTGCCAGAAGGATTCGGGTGGTCCGCTGTTGGTGGAAGATCAGCTGGCTGGCATCACTTCTTGGGCTATTGGTTGTGCACGTCCCGAATATCCTGGAGTCTATGTCAACGTGTCTCATGTGCGTGAGTGGATCGTGTCAAATGTGGCTGCTAATTCGATGTATAAATTGAAATGAAGCGAATAAAAAGAAATGTTTTTTTTTTAATATAAAGAAAAATATTGAAATTGTGATTTGGGGGTTTTCGGATGATTTCTTGTCACATGAGACGACAGCTTGTACATAAAACATTAGCACGAATAATTTAAAATAAAATTTGTCATAAAACACCAGCGTATCGAAAGAAAACTCATTGGTATGTCTAAGTGAATTTTAAAAAGTTAATCTCTCGTGAATGTAATCAAAGTTAATGTAAATAACAAATTTTGAAATTTAAATGGATTGAAGTTGTATTTAAACATGAGATAATTTACCTAATTTTTTAACTTTTTTCAATCGCGTTTTGGTAAATATCAAGGTTTCAGGCTATGCAGTGCCATGCTGACGACAGTCTACGTATGTACATTAGGTTGGTCCAAACAAAGTAGGGACCGAATTTTAATGCGCTCCCGCTGGGATTATTCTATATCGAAAAAATTACCATTGTTTTTTTTATCAAAAAATATGTAGGGATTGCTCAAACCGCTCAAAGCTCCCATGTATTTTATATGAGAAAAAAAATTGTTTCGTAGAAATGGTATAAAATCCTTGAAAATCTATATTTTTCGATTGGGTAATTCTGTTTCTCTTTAGTAGACTTCAGGGAATAATACCCAATTATTTATTAGTAATTTTTTAATATTAACTATTTTTATAAGCTCCCAAATACCTCGAAATTGCAATGAGGGGAAACAGACTTTGCTGATTTAAAAATATTGATTTTCCAAAGATTATATTCTATATAATCCAGATTGACCCAGATTATACCATAAAATGCCTCTGAACTGTAGACTTTTCAAGAAAAAAAACTCAAAGTTTACGTGTATTTTATATGGGAGATCTTTGCACGCCTTGGGCGAGTACTTAATGTTAATATAAAGGGTTAAAATTTTCAGGGAGCTTTTTTTAGGTGTCTTCTACAAAATTTCGAGGTAGGAGTGAAAACAAAAAACAATAGTCGCAAAACAAAATCGCCCCAATCTATATATATATAAATGGTGTGAAAAATTTATAGTATTAATCTATTTAGTACGGTTGGGCCGATTTGGAAAACATTTTCTTTTAGTTGTTCGTAATTACCAGAAGAAGGTTTTTACGAATGAAAATTTTGGGAAAACCCTCCGGGAAAGTCGGAAAATCGGAAAAATCGAAAATAGATTTTTTTTTGTATGGAATTTTGTATGGCATTCGAATGGAAAAATAGAAAATTCTAAGTGGAAAACTCGTAAAAATCCGGAAGAACGCGTAAAATTTTAATTTTTTTCGACGAAAGCTTAGAAAATTTCGGATAATTGGGAAATTCATTGGGAGCATGAATCAATTGGGAACAATCTTCTCCTATGCTTCATAACCGATTCCAAAATGTGCTGCTTTTTTGGAGAGTGTTTAAAAGAAAGAGTGTACAAAGTTTTAATTTTTCCGATAGGTGGCGCAGGGGTCATGCTACGTTAAAAAAATGCATTTGGTACGTTTGCCTAGATTAGGATATAGGATCCATTTTTTCCGTTATGAGGGCCAGGGAGCGATCTATTCGAAAAAGTCTTATTTATGGTCCGCTTTGCTTGAAATTTGGCTGGGTTAACATATAGGATATTTTTTCTGATAGTTGTACCAGATACCAATCTAATCCAAAACATCTTATATATGGTCCGNGATCTATTCGAAAAAGTCTTATTTATGGTCCGCTTTGCTTGAAATTTGGCTGGGTTAACATATAGGATATTTTTTCTGATAGTTGTACCAGATACCAATCTAATCCAAAACATCTTATATTTGCTTGAAATTAGATACCCGATTATAGATATGCGTGGAATAGAATCGAGTCATTTTTTTACAGTTCGAAAGGTATTTGAAGGCGGCGCAAACATGCGCGTATTGGCTATTTAACAATACCTACTACACAGGCCAACAAAAATGGGGAAAAATTGGATGCAGCAAATGTTAACGCTATTTTTGCCAAATTTTTGTGTGTTGATTACGAATCCGTAAGCATAAGGTTTCCATCAGCTCCAGATTTTAAGAAAAACGAGGTAAAAGTGTCAAAAAATCGCTTTTTTTCATTATTTGGGAAGCTCTAGCAAAGAAACAAAAGGTAATAGAACCTTTCACTTAGACCTAAATTAAAGCTAGAACTCTCGAATACTATCCTTGCGAATTCCTTCATCTTTGCTTAATGATCACTTATAGTTATCTGTTGAACAGGAATAACTGATTTTGGAAAGCTTGAGTACCTACCGCAATTAAGCAAAATGTGACAGAACCTTCCACTTAGACTTAAATTAAGCCTTGGACTTCTGACTTCCATTCCTAAACCTTGACCCTAAGGTCACCTATGGTCGTTTATTGAACAGCTAACCCTGATTTTTACACACTTTTCTCAATTGCACAATTTTCCAGTAATTTTTTATTGTTGGATGATAAAAAGTAAATGAGTATAGGTACGGTGACCATCCGTCCTGTATTATACGGGACAGTCCTCTTTTTGGACCCGTTGTCCTGGCAATTTATTTATTTTATACGGGACGCCAAATGTTCTGTATTTCTTTTAATGTCCTGTATTTGTCCCGTATTCGGTGTTTCGATGCCTTAACATCTCATTAAAAAGGCCAGCCTATGAACGAGTTTTAAGTGATCTGAATGCCTGTGTTTCGATTCGAGGAATACATACAGTGGCCAAAATAGAAGCTAGGACTCGACATTTCAGCAAAGTTTGGCTATTTTTCCTTAGTTTATTTAACGTTTATTATTCTTCGTGAAAGTAAAGAAAGCTCTTTTCCTAAAAAAACCCATATAATACTGTTTAAGTGCGACTGCTAACACCAGGCGCCTAAATTCGTGCTATGTGCTGCCGCATGTCCAAAAATTTCCTTCATTAAATTAATGAATGCACTTCTCAACTGCCATGTAATAAAACTTTCTTAAGTTATAATTTGATAGCAGTTCAAAGTATGCTCGGGCGATGCGTTTCGATAACTTATGTTTTGGAACAGTATACATTGTCAATATTTTGTAGTTCGACGTTATGTTATACTTTGTACGTATGCAAAGCAATTGACGTTTTGGAAGTCAGCCATACTTACCTACTTTGTGTGAAAAAGATGCTCAACATCGTCAACAACAAAAAAAAAAAAATGGTCAAAAATTAACGGTAAGTCTTAGCGACTACAATATCACACTTTATTGTACTTAAATTTAAGGTTTCTTTTTAATTTTGTGAGTAAAAATCTCGGGGAAAATTTCCTACAAATTTGTGATGTTACTACAAGGATGCTATTTCAAGGCTAATACATCTAGGATTATGGAAGAAGGCTTTAAGATCAATAAGTTTTTGTGAAAAAAATGTTCAAAATTATTTATTGTCCCGTATTCGGCTCCCATAAATATGGTCACCGTAAGTATAGGTGACCATCAGGGCAAGGTGCAGGAATAGTACTTTGAGGGATAGTGGTCTGTGGTACTGGTTTTAATTTAAGCCCAAATGGAAGGTTCTATCACCTTCTGTTCCATTTCACGGGCTTCTCAAATATTGCAAAAAGCGCGATGTTTTGTCACTTTCACCACATTTTTCTCTCTGCGTATTTTTAATCAGCACAAACAAGTATATCAAAAATAGCTTTAACATCTGGCAATCGCTTTGAGCTCGTTTTAGCTTAATCTGAGTTGCTTCGCATGACGGTGGACTGTATCTTGCCGATTTGCAGCGCCCAACACATCCTCAATCACCAAAAAAAAGAAGAGGTGAGAATATGCAAACCTAATCGAATATCGCTATGAACTTCGAAGGTCTCAGACAGCTTTCCTTTGTGAAATATTAGATGACATCTAGCTTCGTCGAATGGTGTCACGGCGGACGATGGAACTCTCAGAACTCAGGGTTCATTAAAGCCAGGAAGAGTGGAAAACACTCGTACTGGGAACTCTATAAGATCGGACTGGGCGTCTATAAGTCCGAGATAAGAAAGGCCAAAAGCGAGTCATTGAGAAACTTTTGCGAAGCCGTAGACGGTTGTAATGAATCATCTTGATTTATGCTAATCCTCGCGAGGTATCCCATACCTTTGGGTTACCTAAGAGACAAAGAGGGCAACTGGGCGATGAGTGGAGAGGAATCGCTTAAGATATTCCATGACACTCATTTCCCAGAAAATTCTGCACCATGTGAGACCACCGGTATTGGAACGGGCGACTGCCTTACCTCCTCCTCCGGTGAACTACTGGGTGGCGCCGACTGCTCTGGGCAATTGACTCCTTCAATCCTTTCAAGTCTCCTGCACCGGATGGCATCATTCCTGCGCAGCTGCAAAAGGCTGTCGGGGCCTTCAATAATGTCCTACCTGGGGCGATAACTAAGCTCGGAGTCGAGAGCTACTTAGTAAGGCTCATCTCACATATGCTGCACGATAGAACTGTCACAGCGGAATGGGGCAACGCCTCTGAGCAGCGTAAAGTGAGCAGAGGCACACCGAAGGGAAGCGTCCTTTCACCCTTTCTCTGGATAGTTGTGATGAACGACGTCCTGGAGGAGTTGGAAGGGAGAGGATGCCGGATTATTGCCTACGCGGAGGAAAGTTCTTGGACACTCTGTACGATCTTATGCAAGGGTACCTAAACATTGTCACAAATTGGCCCGCTAACTGCGGACTTGCTATCAACCCTGGAAAAACGGAGCTCGTTCGTTTTACTAGGAGGCACAAAAAGCCTCAGGCCCAGCTCCCCTCAATAGGGGGTGCTTGTTTTCTCTGAGAGGGTCAAGTTCTTGGGCGTGATCCTGGATGGGAATTTGTCATGGAACCCAAATATTGAGGAACGAGTAAAGAAGGCATCGGTGGCTTTCTACTGATGCAAGAATATTATGGTGAAAAGATCGGGCCTCTCCCCAAAAGTGATGCACTGGCGATATGAAACAATTATTAGGCCAATAATGTTACATGGGGTCATTGTCTAGTGTAGTTCACTGGAAAATACCACTCATGTTAGGAAACTAGAGCGAGTGCAAAGGTCGGTCCTCGTTGGAATCAGCGGGGCGCTCCGGACCACTCCTACTCTAGCGCTAAACGCTATGCTTAATGTCGCATCTGTCGACATTGCGGGCAAAGTAGCGGCGGTTCGCTCAGCCATTAGGCTCAAAAGCTCTGGGCTCTCTTTCAACCCAGCGCACGGGCACTTGGCAATTCTTGAAAGCTTCGACTTCCTGCCGAAATAAATGGACCGTAGTCACCCGAGGCTGGCCTCAAAGGGATCCTTCTCCACGTACATCCTTCCAAGGGACGAATGGGAGAAGGGTAGTCTCTGGAGAAGAGGTCCAATAAATATCTTCGCGGACGGATCGAAGCTGGAAGGGAGAATTGGAGGAGGTGTCTACTGCCAGGAACTCTCTGTAGATCTCACGTTCAGACTGCCGGATCTCTGCAGCGTTTTTCAGGCCGAGGTAGCCGCTATAAAAGAGGAAGCCGATTGGCTATGCACCAATGTATTGTCGACAAGGAGGGTAAATATATACACTGATAGCCAGGCGGAAATCAGGGCGCTGGGATCGCTAATGGTGTGTCCAAAACTGGTCACTCTCTCTCAACTGCCTCGGAATACTTCCAGATCAAGCTGATTTGGGTCCTAGGGCATAGTGATATCACAGGAAATTGCAAGGCTGATGAACTGGCTAGGCAGCGCACCCTCCAAGGCATCACCTCGGACAGGGAGGGCATTGGAGTTCCACTGGCAACCTGCGGTCTGCTCTTGGACAGATGGGCTTACAGTCGGCTCAGCGAGCGCTGGGAAAAAACTACGACTTGCAAAGTTGCAAGGTCCTTCTGGATGGTTGTGGCCGCGGGCGGTCAAGGGAGCTACTGTAGCTGGCTAAGCGCCAGCTCTCGATTCTCAGAGGTGTACTGACCGGACATTGGCCTATGGGAACCCACGTGGTGCGACTCAGGATCGTCACGGATCCCTACTGTCGCAGTTGTCTGGAAGACGAGGTGGAATCATCTCAGCACTTCCTACTCAACTGCCCGGCATTCGATAGATTAAGGTTAAAGCACCTCGGTGCGCATTTCATCAACACTCCCGAGGGACTCTCCGGAGCAGACATGACCTGTTGGCGGAACTTTGTCATAAGCCCCCCGGCGCTTCTCATAATTTTACACAGTTAGCGTTCAAAGGAATTTTTATGTAATGTGGTATCACAATGGACAATAAAATGTCTAAGTGAGTCCACTTTGCGGGTCTACCACCATAACCAAACCTAACCTAACCTAACCCCCCAAGCTCTGAATTTAGCGCACTAGTGGATGATGATGCTCACTGTGTTTATGTGGTCTGTGTCGGAGAATCCCATGCAAAAACCTACCGGGGAGTTGTCGACAGTTGAATATAGATATTTCCTGAAGCGCTGCTAGATTACCTTTGCAATTATCTTTGCCACCGCAAGTAGATACCACGCCCATTATCACAATCCCTCAGGTCACCCTTTTTGGGTTGTTATAATAATACCGTCCTTTAGTCCGCTCATCTGAGAAGCACTAATGAGTGGATGCAGCAATTCGGCAGCGAGGTTTGGGCAATATAAGAAAAAACTACGCTGGTTTTACATCCGAGCCGGCTGATTTGTTGTTTGGGAGAGATTTAATAGCAGAAGCCCCTTAGAGACAGTGGACGCATCTGGTTTAATACAGAGGTTGGCACTCAAATGAGCCAGTCCTTCTGCAAAATTTGGAATGTTGTCAGTTCAAACATAGTTCAAAACTGACGCAAAGTGGTGTTTCCATCTAGCAAGCTGCTCATCTTTTAAATGCAGAAGACGACCATGTGCGCTCCTCACACTTCTTGTTGATCAGTTGTTTGAAGTTCTTCCATATACGGCCCGACCGTCACCGCAATAAGCCGCATTTTCTGCTTCTCTGGTTAGCCTGGTTATGTGGCTTCTTACACTTCGTTTAGTTGCCTTCTGTGTCGCAGGATATTGAGAAACAAGATCCTTACGAGGTTCTGGGCAAAAGCTTACACATATAAATTCAAGGCCGTGTTTTTGCTGAAATTGCATAACTTTTTGACAATTTTTATGTAATTGAATTGGGTGAGGTGCCAATTTATTCGAAAATAAATTTTCTCTTAAGTAAAAAGTACATGTTTGGCAACTTTCACAGAAATTGTTGAAATCAGCGATGGTCAAGTTTGAATAAATCATTAAAAATAGGGGTTTATTAAAATTTAACCGATGAAAACTTTCAACAAGTTCTATAAAAGCTCTTTTCAAAACCAGATGAAAAATAGTCAAGCTGTTAATAGATATGTGCAGGAAGTACGGAAATAACCCTAATTTTTCGTAAAAAAGATCAGGAAATATTTGAAGAAAAGCTGTTTTTAGATCTAAAAATACTTATCTAAAAACTGATGAATAAATACACCAGCATACACGCGCTACCATTGTTGCGCAGTTATTTATAAATAGCGTTATTATTAACGCGTTTAGCTGACAGCCGTTTCAATAATTACTAACAAATATTTAAAAGAGATAAACAATTTTTGAGGGAATAAACATTTGCCCAAAGTTAAATACACACTATTTACATAGGTACATTAGGCTGGGTCTCGATTTTGTATGATATGTATTTACGTTGTTTTAGGACTAGCAAAATAATAATTGGCCACCAAAGATTAAAATAAAGCATATCCAACAATTTTTATTGAGCTTGAGGCCGTTTTTAATGAAAAATTATTGTGGAAAAGCAACAACAATTTGAAAAAATGGTAGAAGTGATAACTATTTCGGAAAACATCACCTTTCCTCATCAGACTTCTTCAACGGGATTCGAACCGATGACCCCAGCTGACTCTGTGCACTGTGCTAAATTCGCCTTACAAATTCTTGTTGCTTTTTCCACTTTTTTCATGTGAGCCAACTACTATCAAGCGCAGCTATTGCAGTGCTATTTAAACTTGATCATGTGGTTGTTGGTTTTGTTGTTTTTTGTTAATAATTCTATTTTTAGAATGTTTTTATAAGGCAATAAATAACAAAAAAAAAACAAATAACTAAAGGACGAGCACACCTAATAGTTTTTTTTTTAATTTTGTGCAAATGCTTATTTTCCTCAAAAATCGCTTATCTCTTGTAAATATTTGTAAGTAATTATTGAAACGGCTGTCAGCTAAACGCGTTAATAATAACGCTATTTATAAATAACTACGCAACAATGGTAACGCGTGTATGCGACACTACGCACAGTCATCCTCAAGCAAGCATAGCTTCGATTATTATTATTATTATTATTATTATTAGTACGTCGGGTATACTCGCGCTGCGACCTAAAAGATCTATTGTGCTAAACCCTGATTGTAGTCACTCCAACCTTAGGCTATTCAAGAAATTAAGCACATTGGAGGGTGCCGTGTTCCAAATCTTGGATGGAGAAGACAATCGTTCCCCAAGGTGCATCAGTCTGCTATTCATGATACGCGGGCAGTCACACAGAATGTGCTCCGAGGTTTCCTCCGCCTCTACAGAAAGCCCCATTTTGTTTAGATGGTACCTTAACTTGCAGTGTCCTGTCAGGTAGCCTTCGATTAAAATGGATTCAAAAAATTTGTTCATCTGTTTTTAGATAAATATTTTTAGATCTAAAAACTGCTTTTCTTGAGATATTACCTAATCTTTTTTCGAAAAAAACTGAAAAATAAGATTATTTTCGTATTTCATGCACTTATATATAGTTCGACTTAGCTTGTTGGAGGTTTTCATCGGCTAAATTTTAATAAGCCCCTATTTTTAATAATTATTTCAAATTTGACCATCGCTGATTTCAACAATTTCTATGAAAGTAGTCAAACATGTACTATTTACTTAAAAGAAAATTTATTTTCGAATAATTGAATTCATATGTGTATGTACCGGACTTTCAGATTTCATCACCAGTATGGTAACGGAATTCGTCAATATTTACTAAAAATGTATATTGTATGCAATGGCCCTTAAGCAAAAAATGTACTTTTCATACAATTTTAGGGAAATGGGAATGGCACCACCCACTTATATAATATACACGTACCTCAAAAACTACTAGACCGATCTCGATGGAATTTGATATACACATTGTGCTTAGCCTCCTTAAGCACCTTCTTGAATATTTTTGAAATCGGACAAAACCTACTCCGCCTAAAATATAGCTAGCTTTGCTAAACTGGAAACTTAACCTCGAAAAACTTAAAGGGAGGGCTTATATCGCATATTATACTTGTAAAAGGATCTTCGGTAGGAACTGGGGGTTGAAACCGAAACTTGTGATGTGGATGTACACTGCTATCATAAGGCCGATGCTTACCTATGGCGCACTAACGAATGCTAACGAATGTCGTCCTCAATATGATTAGGATTGATCTATGCCTAAACGAAATCGCGATGTACTCAGCATTAAGATTCAGGGAGTGTGGGCTGTGAAAAGCGAGTACCTTTGGGCATAGCTCAATCTTAAGTATGGGTCCGATAGAAAATAAAACCACGGACTACATGGTATCTAGCCAGGATTTTGGCTTGAATGTGGTGGTGCGGTTTCCATCCAGAAGGGAATCTACACAGAGAGACCCAATATGAACTGCGGTGCGGGGGCAGGAGTATATTCCGAGGAGCTTGGTGCCAATCTGTCAATGCGGCTGGCGAATTATGCCAGCATATTTCAGGCCGAAGGTCTGGTCATATTTGAGGCCGGTAGGTTACTAAATAATAGTCCTACTAGAAAAGCAAATGCAGTGATTCACTCAGACAGCCAGGCGGCCCTGCTAGCTATATCGTCTCCTGATACCAAGTCTAAGCTAGTTAAAGAATGCCAGATGGAGCTACGCTCAGCATCTCAATCAATGTCTATCTCTCTCGTCTGGGTTTCCGGTCATAGGAATAAGGAAGACATCGAGAGAGCAGACGAATTGGCCAAGGCGGCAGCTTGTTTGGATGAATCGGAGGCAGTGGTACTGGGATACCCCCTCAGACAAGTACAAGCACAGGTATACTTGCACTTTCTGAAACTGGCAAGGAGGAGGTGGTTAGATATTCTGACTTGAAAGATAGCACGTGAGCTTTGGCCTGACTGTGGCAGGAAAAGAACAGCAGAGCTGCTAAGTAGGTCAAGGGTAGATGTATTTAGGATTGTAGCGACTATCACCGGCCACTGGCCGCTAGGAAAGCATGCCTATAGAATAGGACTCCTATATAACGAAATATGCCGCAGCTGTCGGATAGTGGGCAGCGAGGAGATGGTATTTCATTTCTTGTGTAAATGCTGGGGGCTGACTTCCTTAAGACATAAATCTTTCGGGGAACACACCGTTAGTCTGTTAGCGGATTTATCTAGTGCTACTATAAGCGATATGCACAAGTTTATCAGAAAGAAAAATATTTTCAAAATAGTTGCTGGAAAACCCCCATTTTTTTAACCATGTTTTTTTATAGAGAATTAAACAAAGATTACGATGGCATAATTTTAAATCCCTAATTTACTGGTCTTACTATGCAAATCAACTTCAAAAAGTTCAACTGTTAATAGCTATAATAGCTTTAGAACAATCTTATATATAGAATATTAAGCGCGTTTCTTTAGCTTTAAAACGACGTTAAGATCAAGTCTCTACGATGGGCAGAAACCGAGATATAACGATTTGAAGGAGTACATGATTAGTCAGAATCACGAAAAAATGCAAACTTTGACGGATCATATCTCCAAAGAAAAAAGCGAAAAAAATTCCTCGAACACGTGTTAGCTTATTTTATGTATAGAACCGATAAAAAAATTTGAAGCCAATCGAAAGTTTGACACCAAAATTTGGTGTCCGATATGAAAAAGAATCTCTCATATATGTACGTATGTATGCGTTTCAAACTATTATTTACTAATCAAATGATTCCTAGTCTCGGACATCCGTATTTAATTTTATTTACCACTATTTCGATAACTGACCAAATTGCGTGACCAAGTCCATGGTCTTTCAAATATTCAGCCTCATTGTGAGAGTCATGTCGAAGCAAGTCGATTTTTCAGAGTCGAATCGTGTCGAAAACTTCATGTCATTGCCTAAAATTTCGACTCGACTAGTGTATTAAAACGGAAAAACTTGGCAGCACTGCATAGTTTTCGACGATTTTTGTCGTTTACTTATTTCAGCTCGACAATAAACAATGGTAATGTTGTCGAGTCGTATAATTTAGCCTAATTTTCGACTTACGCAATGATGCTGATTATATAAATACCGAAAACCTAAAATCTCTGAAATAAATCTCGTAAAATTTCCTTAATTTTCACTTGGTTACTTAAGTAATGAAGAATTAAAAACACATACGGGAAAGTTATCGCTTTTGTAAGTTTTTCTAAATATCTCAAAAAGGTGTAGGTTGTGAAAAACGATGTATGAACGTGAGATACTAAATTTAATAACCTTTCACATGATATATCGTCTATACCAGATATTACCAGCCTAAGCTTAATTTTCCAAATTCATAAACTTTGAATCAATTGCGCGGGCTAAGATATGTTTTAATTAACCTTTCGTTGCCAATTATTATTGGATTAGACCTAAGACAACATAACATGTATTACTATTACAGTACGATCAAATGCCTTTTATACCATACAAAATTGGCCCAGCTTAATGACCACTCAGCCGTCGATATGTACATACGTACATAAAATTATCGCAAAAAAAATCAGTTTATGTTTTTGTAATTTAATTAACGAAACGGTGTGATATTGATTAGGATTTCCTTCCTTTTCCGAGACCCATGGCATGCTCAAAGATGACGACAATTGATTTTCGTTAACACTTGTTTGTTTTTTTGGTTCGGTTTAAGTTTTTCTAACTTTATAAATGTATTGATACTAACTTTTAATATACGCGTCAGTGGCATAGCCAGGATTTCGGGAAGGGGGCGGGGGGGATTCAAAAAGATCAGCGATAGCTTACAGATGGGAACCACAATGACTAGATGCGTCGATTGTACGTAATCTATCATAGATATTTGAGCCACTCTTACCGTTACATACTTTTTGTCTATGTGTGACGAACAAACGGGTTTATAAAGGGTTTGTAAGACTACTCGTATAGGATATGCAGGATTTAATCCGAAAAGCGTTCCAGCAGACAAATTTTCTACTTTCGTGAGAGTAAAATAGGCTTACTCTCAATTACAAGGGGCAGGCTCTAGTCCGAAGTTTGTATTCTTGCAAATTCATGAAAACTGTCAAATGAAGAGCAGTGTTGCATTCAAAGATAACTAGTGCCAATTTATAGGAAATATTTTATATCAGAATAGAAGCCAAATTCGCCAAAATAACGAAATCTTTTGAGAAGTAAAATTTTTCGGTGTCGGAATTTTTGCCTGAATAAATAATTCTGTAAACAAACAACTGACATTTACATACTTGCAGGAAAAATGGTTTTTCGCGGTCTAACAGTTTTGCTCAATTCTTCACTCGTTGCGCTCTATTGTGACAGATATTTTACTTTTGACAGTTCTAGAGATTTTAGTCCAAAACTCGCTGAGCGCACCTTATGTTTGTATTCAGACTATTATGCTAAGCGCCGCTTTCTCACGCAATACACATTTCGATCGTATGCTTGGCTTCCGAATAAAAATGTTAGAGAAAAGGATGTTGAGAGAATTCATAGATTTACGATAGAAAAATTGCATCTACTACTTCCACGAATATAAAAGTGCACAGCAATGTAAGTAATGTAAGGAAAATTCACGATAATTGCATTGCACTTACGTATGGACATATTTATATAAAACTAGAGTTATAAAGACTCTAGAGTTTAAGATTCTATTGCAACCCACATAAGGGTTAAAGCACCTTTATAAATATTTTCTCGGAACTGCTATTAATGAATGCATCAAGCATCTAGATAAGTTTGTTCACATTCATTGGTATAAATATATTCGTATACATGTACATAAGTGCAAACGTATTTGTTTGTTGATACAAAAATAAGTCTCTTTCATATCGTCAATTGTTCATCGCAACATAACTTCGATATGATTATTTAAATTAATATTAAAAATCGGAACTTATTAGGGTATATAAAGCGCTCGAAAACTCAACTAGAAAACAATTTGAAGTTACAGCNATTTAAATTAATATTAAAAATCGGAACTTATTAGGGTATATAAAGCGCTCCAAAACTCAACTAGAAATCAATTTAAAGTTACAGATTTAACCAATCACACAANATATTTTGTGTTTACAATTTGTAACCAATCTCAAGAGTGGTTGTTAAATTTTTTAAATCAAACAATCACATTTTTGAAACGAAAAAAATGAGAATGCACACTCAATTGATTCAATCATTACACAGCTCTGGCATATGCTGCTGGAATTGAAGGTGGTGTACCCACCACAATTGAGGAACATCCTTATGTCNCTGTTGATCGCAGCTACAGGCGCATATGCTGCTGGAATTGAAGGTGGTGTACCCACCACAATTGAGGAACATCCTTATGTCGCACGAGCATCTGCAGTGGTGCTTTGATCAATGAGGATACCGTTGTGCCCGCTGCAACATGTTTGGAGTTCTACGATATCAGCCAATTCGTTGTGAGTCTTAACAACGGTGCTAAAATTGTAAAAATTGCAAAGTCTACCTACGATTCGGCGTTCGATTTCGTTACCATGGAAAATGATATTGGCATTCTGAAGTTGGCTGAGCCTGTTAAGGGTACTTACATTCCACTGGCTGCCAAAGACCCAGCTACCGGTGCCACTGGCGTTGTGACCGGCTGGAATGCAAACAACGAACTGGTCGATATTCCTGAAACTTTCATCGATACTAAGGATTGTGTTTCTGGCGAATACAGATACACCGACGATGAAGTCTTCCCCTCAATGGTGTGCGGTCTTGCTAAGCGTTGCAATGCTCAGGCCGGAAGTCCTTTCGTGGTCAAGAATGAGTTGGTCGGTTTGGTGTCTTGGGGCTATGGTTGTGCCAATAAAGCCAACCCAACTGTCTTCACTAATGTTCCAGCCTTAAAATTATGGGTTGAAAAGATGTCAGCAAGCTTGTAAAATATGTATATGTATATGTTATAGTGATTTCGTTTCTACTAAAAAATGTCGCTCTTTTAATTGCCCCTTTCTCATTTCATGTTCGATTCTAAAATAAAGGCAAACGGTGTAGTAACATCAAACACATTATGCACCGGGGAAGGGCAAACTTTTTTGGAATAAACGAAATCACCATTAATTTGATTATAATAGATTCGTGCATTTTATTGAATATGAATTTGTTTATTTAAATTCCAAATGGTTTCTAAAAATTGTCATAGGCATGTACGTTAATGCGCTAACGATAACCAGTACAAAGCGTTTCTCGTACAACGCAGAAGTGTAGTTGATATACATACATATGTAGGTACGTAGGGGATACTCTCTTAGAGCCGCAGAATACTATATTACACCATTTAGCTGTCTTGCCTAAATACTTGTGTCCTCGTTCGCGCACTCTGGGCAATGTTAGCAACCCATGTGCGAATGCGGTAACCAATCCGAGTGGAGCCTTCGGTGACGGCAGAAAGAGAGGGAGCTTTGGTGGGGCCACTCCAAATTATTCGGTTAAAGGCTCACTGAAGTCTTGGAGCAAGCGGCTTGCTTTGTAAAGGTATATTCGGTTGCAAAACCACCCCTGTCCTAGCAATAGGCTGCAATGAAATATAGACACAAAGCCTAGGATGAGAACCCAACTTTTGATGACGACCATGGCAATCGATTAAAGGACTACGATTTACGGGCATGCCCCTGGAATGTCCGGACCTTTAATGAGGAAGTTGCCTTTGCCCAGCTGGTTGATATCCTCGTAAGGACAAAAGATGACATCACTGCAATCCACGAAATGCGTTGGACGGGGCAAGGAAAAAATTGTTGGGGCCTTGCGACGTCTACTATGGCTGCCATGTAAAGGAGCGCAAATTCCGTGTTGGATTTGTGGTGGGAGAGAGACTCTGTCGCCGAGTACTGTTGTTCACCCCGATAGACGAGCGTCTAGCTATAATCAGCATCAAAGCGAGATTCTTCAACATCTTGCTCATCTGCGCCCATTCCCGACGGAAGAGAAGGATGAGACATCCAAGGATCTCTTCTATGAGCGCTTGGAGCACACGCATGAGCGCTGCTCCCGCAACATTATCAAAATCGTGCTTGGCGACTTCAATGCCAGGGTGGGCAAGGAAGGGACCTTTGGAATCACCGGAAGACAATTCAGCCTCCACGACGAAACGTCCGACAACGGACTCAGGCTGATCGACTTCGCCGGGCCCCGAAACATGGTAGTATGCAGTACTAGGTTCAAGCATACAAATATTCATCAAGCTACGTGGCTGTCTCCTGATTGAAAAAGGAGAAACCAAATCGATCGTGTTGTGATAGACGGAGGGCATGCTTCCAGTGTTTTAGACGTACGTACACTTCGAGGCCCAAACACTTAGGAACCAGCATTAACACCGATAATAATGTCAGCATGGAAATCCAACGCAGAATCACTCTTGCCAACAAGTGCTACTTTGGACTGAGTAGGCAATTCGGGAGCAAAGTCCTCTCTCGACGTACGAAAACCACACTCTATAATTCACTCATCATGCCCGTGCTGGTATATGGCGCAGAGGCATGGACAATTACAACATCCGATGAGGCGGCTCTTGGAGTATTCAAGAGAAAGATTTTGTGGATAATTTACGGGCCTTTACGCCTTGGCGACGGCGAGTACCGACATGACATAGTGCGGCGAGTTTAAATACAGCGGATCCACTGGTTTGGTCATGTCGTTCGAATGGACACCGACGCTCCAGCTCTGAAAATATTCAACTCAGAACTCGCTGGTGGTAGCAGAGGAAGACGGAGGCCCCCACTGCGATGGAAAGACCAGGTCGAGAAGGACTTGGCTTCAANACATCTTGCTCATCTGCGCCCATTCCCGACGGAAGAGAAGGATGAGACATCCAAGGATCTCTTCTATGAGCGCTTGGAGCACACGCATGAGCGCTGCTCCCGCAACATTATCAAAATCGTGCTTGGCGACTTCAATGCCAGGGTGGGCAAGGAAGGGACCTTTGGAATCACCGGAAGACAATTCAGCCTCCACGACGAAACGTCCGACAACGGACTCAGGCTGATCGACTTCGCCGGGCCCCGAAACATGGTAGTATGCAGTACTAGGTTCAAGCATACAAATATTCATCAAGCTACGTGGCTGTCTCCTGATTGAAAAAGGAGAAACCAAATCGATCGTGTTGTGATAGACGGAGGGCATGCTTCCAGTGTTTTAGACGTACGTACACTTCGAGGCCCAAACACTTAGGAACCAGCATTAACACCGATAATAATGTCAGCATGGAAATCCAACGCAGAATCACTCTTGCCAACAAGTGCTACTTTGGACTGAGTAGGCAATTCGGGAGCAAAGTCCTCTCTCGACGTACGAAAACCACACTCTATAATTCACTCATCATGCCCGTGCTGGTATATGGCGCAGAGGCATGGACAATTACAACATCCGATGAGGCGGCTCTTGGAGTATTCAAGAGAAAGATTTTGTGGATAATTTACGGGCCTTTACGCCTTGGCGACGGCGAGTACCGACATGACATAGTGCGGCGAGTTTAAATACAGCGGATCCACTGGTTTGGTCATGTCGTTCGAATGGACACCGACGCTCCAGCTCTGAAAATATTCAACTCAGAACTCGCTGGTGGTAGCAGAGGAAGACGGAGGCCCCCACTGCGATGGAAAGACCAGGTCGAGAAGGACTTGGCTTCAGTTGGCATTAGTGATGGCACGACTAATCGAATAACCGATTATAATCGGTTATTTTCATTCGGTTAACGATTTAATTGTATCGAAATTTTCCTTTCGATTAATCGAGCGTTTAAACGATTAGTTTTTCAAAATAATCGAAAATAAACCATCAAAATTTACTAATTCACTCAGACAATAATGTATGAGTCAAAATAAGTTGGGATGTTTGTTACATTCTCTTTTTCTGGAAATTTTTTAAACGATATTTCTGCCAAAAACCGCAACACAAACTTAACCTAAGTAGCTACTAAAAATTCACAACCCAGGTATGCACATATTTTCATTTTATTTTCCGAAACAGAGAAATACCAAAAATCAGCGGTAAGTGCCAGATACTTCAGTCTTGGAATTTTGCATACTGAAAATCTGTCTAAGAATTCTACATAATTAAAAAGCTAGAATTTTTTGTTGATTTTTTTTTTAAATACTGCACAAAGTTTTATATATTTATATTTATACGTTTTTTTGCTAAAAAATAAGCTATATTTAAAAAAATAACTACAATTAAATAACTAANGAGTATTCAAGAGAAAGATTTTGTGGATAATTTACGGGCCTTTACGCCTTGGCGACGGCGAGTACCGACATGACATAGTGCGGCGAGTTTAAATACAGCGGATCCACTGGTTTGGTCATGTCGTTCGAATGGACACCGACGCTCCAGCTCTGAAAATATTCAACTCAGAACTCGCTGGTGGTAGCAGAGAAAGACGGAGGCCCCCACTGCGATGGAAAGACCAGGTCGAGAAGGACTTGGCTTCAGTTGGCATTAGTGATGGCACGACTAATCGAATAACCGATTATAATCGGTTATTTTCATTCGGTTAACGATTTAATTGTATCGAAATTTTCCTTTCGATTAATCGAGCGTTTAAACGATTAGTTTTTCAAAATAATCGAAAATAAACCATCAAAATTTACTAATTCACTCAGACAATAATGTATGAGTCAAAATAAGTTGGGATGTTTGTTACATTCTCTTTTTCTGGAAATTTTTTAAACGATATTTCTGCCAAAAACCGCAACACAAACTTAACCTAAGTAGCTACTAAAAATTCACAACCCAGGTATGCACATATTTTCATTTTATTTTCCGAAACAGAGAAATACCAAAAATCAGCGGTAAGTGCCAGATACTTCAGTCTTGGAATTTTGCATACTGAAAATCTTTCTAAGAATTCTACATAATTAAAAAGCTAGAATTTTTTGTTGATTTTTTTTTAAATACTGCACAAAGTTTTATATATTTATATTTATACGTTTTTTTGCTAAAAAATAAGCTATATTTAAAAAAATAACTACAATTAAATAACTAACAAAAAATCTTGTCGTGCGCTATAATTTTGACACGGGGTGTAAGTCAGTTTTTATAACTTATAAATGGTTTTTATGAATTTTCGATTTTAATCGAGATGACCGATTAATCGGTTAATGTCTTACGATTAATTGCAATTATTAATCGAATGCCTTCGATTAATCAATTAACCGATTAATCGATTATTAATTTTTTTTCGCCATCAGTACTTGGCATTTACAATTGGCGGCAGTTGGCACAGAAGAGAAACGACTGGCATGTTTTGTTGAACTCGGCCGAAATCACTTAAGCGGTTACGGCTCCAAATAAGAAGAAGAAGAAGAAAAAGAAGATTCGGTTTTCGTGGCTGGCTCACCCAGCTGTGGAAGGAGGCACGCTTAGTCCGCCATAAATAATTATAGAATAAAAGATAGCGCATTCCCGGCGGCGATGATAAAATAAGCTCTCAAAAAAGTCAAATTTCTCAACATTCAATGATAAAAACGTATTAAGAGGTATGTACATAGGATACCGCACATATTTACTATCGACAGTGCTGCTTTGCAGTGCCGAACATGCAGAGCAGATAAAGAAGAGAAGTATGTGTCAGTTGTCGAGTCGTCAAGAAATGCCGTAGTCGTTTAAGCAGATATATGTATGTACATATCTTATTAAATTTTATTACTGTCGTCAAATACCAACATACACATTGTACATCTAGTTTAACATTCATTAAGCATTTATCATGGAATTTCATAAACTTTTACGTAATAAAGTATCAGCTTTACATATGTACATATATGTATGATTTATAAAAATACCCAACAAGCATTTCAGTAAATGTTTTAAAAAAAAACTTAAAGTAAGTTTGCTATAATACGCGTTAAATAAGCATTTTTAATATTAAGCTTATTAAAGGTTTTTTCAAATAAACCTTTAATAAGTTTTGAGGGCGAATGTTTATAAATAAC